CTTACACAAGGGAAGCTTTGATAGAGGGTTAGGGGCCAAAATAGGAGTGGCATAAAGAAAGGAGGAAAACTAAATACAGCTTGTATAGATTATACCTTTTGAGAAATTTTGTTTCTATGGGGCATGCAAAAATGTAACTCATTTTTTCCCTTTAAATTCTGAAATGTTGGAATTTCTTTTTTTTTAATCATTTTATTAGGGGCTCATACAACTCTTATCACAATCCATACATACATCAATTGGGTAAAGCACATTTGTACTTTCATTGCCCTCATCATTCTCAAAACATTTGCTCTCCACTTAAGCCCCTGGCATCAGGTCCACATTTTTCCCCTCCCTCTCCACTCCCCCCTCCTTTATGAGCCCTTGATAATTTATAAATTATTATTTTGTCATATCTTGCCCTGTCCTTCACCCACTTTTCTGTTGTCCATCCCCCAGGGAGGAAGTCACATGTAGATCCTTGTAATCGGTTCCCCCTTTCCAACCCACTCTCCCTTTATGCTCCCAGTATCGCCACTCACACCACTGGTCCTGAAGGGATCATCTGTCCTGGATTCCCTGTGTTTCCAGTCCCTATCTGTACCAGTGTACATCCTCTGGTCTAGCCAGACTTGCAAGGTAGAATTCGGATCATGATAGTGGGGGGGGGGGTGGCATTTAGGAAAGAAATTTACTTATTTTTACCATGTATTCTGCAATATCTCACATACATAGTGACCCTATAGTGCAGGGTAGAGCTGTCCCTGTGAGTTTCTCCTGCACAGCAGGTGGTGGTTTTGAACCGCTGACCTTACACTTAGCAGTCCAATGCATAACCACCATGCCACCAGAGCCCCAACTGAAATGTTGGGATTTCATAGGGTCTTATACTTGGTCTTCTTCTCTTCTTAATCCATATCACCTTTCTAGTTATTTACATCGCCAACTTATCTAGCGTTTCAGGAAAGTTGAAGGAGTCAATAGTACTGAAGATAGCATAGTGGTACATTAAGTATCCATTGGAGTTAACACTAAGTATTTAAGTAGACATACAATAGTAGAACTCGTTTAACTTCAGTATTGTCCAAGGACAGGGCAGTATTAGATCTGGGGTGGAGAGCTTTTTGGGCTCAGGAAATAATTGAACCTCAGGATAGGTGTGTATAATGTTTTCATTCACACAGCCAGAGTGTTTCTTAGAGGCAAGGATTTTGAGACTTCTTCATCTTACATACTGTGGACATGTTGTTAGAAGAGACCAGTCCCTGGAGAAGGACATCATGTTTGGTCAAGTAGGGGTAGTGAAAAAGAGGAAGTGCCTCAATGAGATGGATTGACACTGCCATTGGCTGCAACCATGAGCTCGAGCACAGGAACAATTTTGAGGTAGCATAGGTCCAGACAGTGTTTCGTTCTGTTGTGCATAAAGTTGCTATGAGTCAGAACCAACTTAATGACACCTAAAAACAACAAAGATGTGTAGACTCTAAACCTATACTCTAAAGGTGGAAAGTAGAAATGGTGGACTGAAGATAATCACTTGAAGCATACTAGTGGAAGGCTTTTCAGGCCAGGAGTTATACTCTGCATTTGTGGACAATGGGAATCTCAGGAAAATTTCATGGTTCTGAATACACAGCATGCATTTGGATGAGTTTTTAGGTGAGAGAGAGAGCAAGGAATTGATGAGGCTTTCAAATAAAGGTGATTTAGGAGCAAACTAGAGGAAGAAGATTATGAGAGTTCCTGGATCACAGGACTTTATTACTGAGAAGTACTCCCAAGACCAATGAGTGCAAAAGAAATTACCAGAGACAGATAGGAATAAGTAACAGGGTTTAAAATCAAGGCTTAGACAGGGTTGGTGGGCTTCAGAGAAGATGAGGAATATAGTCACAGCAGGTCTCTGGTCTTCTCATCTGTTCTGTCTAATCTTTACAAAGCAATGTTTTGGGCTTTTAACAAGAAAGGGCAAAACATCTCAAGCCCTTGCCCCCACAAGTAGCCCCTTTACCATGCTCTCAACACAGAATGAAGGGAAGTTTCTTCCTTAATGTTTTCCCCACTCAAATGATCTAGCCTCACTTTTAGCAAAACCCAAGCTCTGAAAAGGAAACAAAGCACGAGTTTACTTTAAGCTGTGTCATGAATATTATTTTTTAATTCAATTCCCAGAAGCCCAGATTTTATTGGCACTAATTACCCTGTCAGCATTCCTAATACAAATATGAAGAACTAAAGGAGTGAGCCTTGATGGAAAACTGTTTCCCTCTTACTCTGTGACCCTTCCAATTCAGAACTGAGAAGACATAGCCGAAGGTGGAGAAAGAAGAAACATATTTCGAAGATGCCTGATCCTTTTACTTGAGATGATCAAAAGTTAGAGATTCTTTCAGACACTATTTCTACATTCACTTTAAAAGACAGTTCAAGTGTCGTGAAGAAATCAGATGGTGCCTGGCTATCAGAAAGAATAGTGTCCTAGGCTTTAAAGGCTTGTATTTAAACAAATAGCCATCTTAGAGGTACATCTGCCAAGTCTACATGGAAGAAGCACACCAGCCTATGTGGCACAAGGATTATAAATAATAAAACCCAAATCTGGAGGAGGGAATGGTATTCGAACTTAAATTCTGAACACCTGGCTTGCAGAGGGCTATGGATGACAGGTAAAAGCCCAAAATCCATTTGCAGGGTACGCGCATGGATTAAGCCTCTGGAGAATCCCTTCTGACCATAGACCAGGGATGTGAACAGCCTTACTAGCAGACAGAGAACACTGTAAAATTGATTATTGCAGATGTAGATACGTTAAAATTTAACACCTTATCATTTGATTTCCCTTATTTTAAATGTACCAGTTTAAATTATTTTCTACTTTTTTTTGATTGAGACTTGTTTTGTCATACTTTTGGCTTTTTGTTTTTATTCTGTATAATATTCTATATATGAAATCCAGCATAAGTAAATCTACACAGAAAATAACTAGATTAATAGTTTCCTAGGGGTATAGTGGGTGTGGCTGGGATAAAATGGGGGAGCTAACAAAAATGAGGAAAAGAAAGAAGATGATGTTCTAGAACTAATTGTGGTAATGATTGCACAACTCTTTAAAATTATTAAACTATTCAATTGTGTGTTATATAAATTATGTCAATGAAACTTTTTTTTAAAGTGCTCTGGTGTGGTCTGTGTGTTAGAAACACGGCATCTGTGCTAGTCTTTGGAGATGCAGAAACTAAACCTCCTATAAAATCATCTGTTGCACCCTACCAAGACATTAAAGATGGGGAACCATCCTGCTAGCTTAGACTTGATTGAGACCATGAAAGCCTACTGCAGACTGATGACATGATAAATGAATGATTAAATCGGCGGGAGTCTCCCTTATAATAAGCAGGCGGTTTAAACAATGGAAATGTTGGATTTCATGGATTTTGGAGTAAAAAAGGTAGTAGCAGGGATGCAGGAGGGCTTTCTTTAAGCTAAAAGTAACACACTGGAAACAAACGGCAGGGGGAGGAATCCATCAACCATTTATGGGGGGCCAGGTCAGTAGGAATAAGAGATACAGACACTCATTCATCTAGGAACTTCCTTGCCATTTGAGCTGGCAAGTCAGACTGACAAACGTCATCCTGTTCTTCAATTCTTCTTTAGGACATGCTCGCTTATCTCTGAGATGCTGGCTTCCCAGATTTCTTATTGGCCAGGAAGGAAGTGCCTTGTTAACAACCAAGTTCAAAAGAGCTGCATAAAGCATTAAGGGGACAAGATAATCTGTCTGACCAACCCTGACTGGCCTTTAAATCCTCCCAGTAATGAGCAGAATGTACTAGGTAGAACTTGGGTTCTTGCCAGGAGCTGACCCTATGATTAACTGATATCTATGCAAGGTAGGAGATGAAATATTTTTCTTAAGTCATAAGTTCTTATTTATCAAAGGTTCCTGTTTATCTTGGTAAGGTGGGTTCATTTGATCTATGGCCTGAACCCATAACTGTGTCCTTTAACAAAGAGTTCTAATCTCTGAGCACTAAGTTCGTGGCTCCCATAGGTATGCCACCTGACACTATTGTTGTTATGTGCAGTCAAATCAAATTTTGACACACAGGGATCCCATGTGTAAAACTGCTCCATAGGGTTTTCTAGGTTGGAATCATTACCGAAGCATATGGCCGGGTCTTTTTTCCTGCAGTCGCTGGGTGTGTTTGAACCACCAACCTTTTGTTTAGTAGCTTAACACTTTACCATTGTGCCACCAGAGCCTAGCATCACTAGATTTGTGGGGAATGCTTTAATTAGGCTTAGATTATGTACAGAAGTAACCTTTGATCATTTAAAGTAAATCAAAACCCTAACAGATCTAGAAAAAGTTTGAGCCAATTATTATTACTGCTACTTTTTAATGGAAATATGGCTACCATATATTTCCTGGTGTCTTTAAGGGAGCCTAGGGAGAAAGATGAGTACTCGTGGATAACAAGACAGATCCTTAGATCGTGTTCACATGAACTGCACTGATTGGATGGCTGCAAGTAGCCTGACTTGGACTTACTATTCCTCTTTGTCCTCAGAGTTAGTTGAGCTACACATTGTCTATTACCCATCAATGCAATGGCAGTCACTCAAGGGCTATATGACTAAATGGCAGCAGCAGCAGATTCTTAGCACCAACCATAGTCTCATGTGCCTCAGGTGGGTTGAGGCCACACTCTATATCTGCCATCACCAGCACATGAGCCAGCTATGAAATGGAGAGACTGTAAATTATGTAGACTAGTGTATGTTGGGTGCTTCCTTCTGTACCATACACACTGGAATTCCTTCGCAGATGGCAGCAGAAACATGTTTTCCTACTTTCACTGTAACCAGACACAAAATCTACTGTTCTACATATGAAATTAAGCCTTGCCTAGTAAGAGAACATCTTCCCATCCTTATGTTTCTGAATATGCATCTCTGAACTTCTTGTGTTCTAGGACACCAAACACATAGTGACTTGTAGGGAAAATTACTTGGGTTTGGAGGGAAGAGTGTGCAGCTTTTACAATGTATGATCTCCTTCACTACTGGCATATCTGGTGGAATTGGCGGAGGTACTATTCCCAAACCAGGCATCATTGGAGTTAAGGGTGGGATTCCAGTCATCATTCCAAGAGCAGGGTCAAAGTCTGAAAAAGGAGAGGAGAGAGAGAAAAATAAATGACACCAGATAAGGTCAAGTGGAGGCAGAGTGTTACCTTTAATATCTCACACCAAAGCCTTTTCTAAAGTAGAGGTAAAATATTTCAGAAATCATGTCCCCAGCATTGTCAGGTCTTAGATGTTTTATATTGCTGTGCATTTTTCTTTTTGGGATGGCACTGCTCCTCTGTATTTTATTTTGACACCCTCCCTAAATAACAAAAAACCCAATAAAACAAAGAACAAATCTGAAGCAGAGCAACCATGTGAGACAGAACAGAACTGTCGCTTTGGGTTTCCAAGGCTGTAAATCTTTATGAAAATGAAAGCCTCATCTTTTCCCCCCAAAGTTGATGGTGGTTTTGAACTGATGATCATGTGGTTAGCAGCCCAATAAATAATACTACCAGGGCTCCTTTTTGACATGCAAAGTCTTTCATAATATGACTGCCTTTTGTCTACTCAGCTCATCTTTCACTAGTTCCTGACACCCTCTGCTTGAATCCGACAAGGCTCCTTGCTGTCCTTTGTGCACATACTGATAGTTCCTATCTCTCTGTGGTACAGCATCAGGTTAATAGCACAGACTGGAGATCAGGCAGACCTGGGTCCTAGTTCCACCTCTGATTGGCTAAAGAACCTTTTAAATGTTCATTTCCTCATCTTCAAAATAGGGTTAAGACAACCTACATTGTACGAAGTTTTGAGGAGTAAACAAAATATTAACTGTCATGTGCTCAGCACAGTACATAGACCCGAAAGGCTCAATAAACAACTACTCACTGTGCCTTTGCTTATGCTGTTTTTCTTATCTGGAATCATTTGAGCCTCCCAAAGTTCTCCCCAGGCTTCAAGGCATGGCTTACACCCATCCTTGAAGAGTTTTTTTTCAGACAATTCTAGTTAATATTGTATTCTGGGTCTAAAAATTATTGATTTTACATTTGACAATGACATTCTATATTGACAATGAATTTTTATTTTGTGCCACCCTCTGATTATGTCTGTCAGGCATGTTTCTCCAGGATATGTGAAGGAGCTTCACAAACAAAAATTCTGTGAGGTCACTGTCTTCTATATATGCTTTGATTTTCTCTAAGCCTGGGTCAGTATCATCATTCTGATGATACGATCTTACATGGTTCCATGAGTAAAATACCATATTAGCCAAATGGAGTGAATCACTTACCAGGATATCCTCTTAAAAGCAAGATTTTGGGAGGGCCCGATACACATGAATCCAAAAGTTCCTTGGGTAATCTAGTAGCTCCTACATTGGTACACTGTAAAGGAGAAATGGGGACCAGGGCCCATGTGGGTTCTGTTTGGAATTGGAGATCCTTGCTCAGATGACATTGCTGGCTCTGGCCAGTCATACATGGGAGAGGGAAATGGGAACTATTGATAAAGTTATTTCTGGTAACTAGAACCCATGTAGGGCCTGATAAGGCACTGCCTGTCCTGTCAGTCTTTTGCACGGAAGGGGGGATTTCAAAATGGTTAAAGTAGACATTCCTAAATGAGGGTTCCTTGAGGTGCAGGCCTAGGACAGGAGCTTTGCTTCCTATTAGTAAGGGTGGCATTGACTTTGACAGAGGATATCTGTATTGACCTTTGCTGATTATATATCCATGAGTACGGTGGCACATACAGGGAGCAAAGTTATGAATATTTTATAGATGCAACCAAACACATTGAGGACTGAGTCACTGGACTGGGGACTCAGGACCATAGTCTCTGGAGATACTGAAGTGAATTGGCTTAATATCGTCTGCAAAAACAATGTTCTACAATCCCATTTTAGTGAGTAGTGACTGAGAGCATATTTACCTTTGTCCTTATATGTCATCTCCCTTGACATGCATGTGTGGGCATGTACACACAAACACACATTGTTCCCTCTCTGTGGCTCTCTACATTCCTCCAGTAGTATTGATGTGACCCTGAAGAAAATTTCTTAATATATATGTACCTCATTTTCCCTTTAGGTAAAAGTAGACATAAATAATGGCATTTAGTTCAAAGGATGCAAGGATAGAACAGATATGAAAACTTCTGGCATAACAGTTACTTCTCTAGGTAAATTTCCTAGGTACAAAGCATGAGTACACATACTGACTGATTTGGGCACTCAATCCCACATTCTACAAACATTTGTTATAATTATCCTACATGATAGACTCTGTGCAGCTAAAGGGTCTAGAACTACCTTTCAATCTTAGAGAATTTAAGGCCCCTTACTGCCTGTCATCCCATGCTGTAAAACAAAGAGTATTGTGGTTAAGGATGCCATTTACATCAGAAAAATTTGATTTCTTGTGCAAAAGATTTTGGGGAAATTGTTAACATGATCTCACCCATTTGCAAACTGTTATTTTTTTAAGGAAAATATCAGATTAGATTGTGTGTCAATATAATAATCACATGTATTTTTCTCCTCCTACTGAAATGTTTGTCTTCCTTTTATTGTTCTGTCTGCCTCCTCATTGTTATTCATATAGCTTTGTCACTCACAACTCTACCTTACCACAGATTACAGCAACATCAGTTCATTAAACAAGTTCTGCCACTTTGACTGAGCAGGAAATGCCTGTCTCCATGTACTGTCTACTAATAAATGGAGACAAACAAAAAACAAATACACAGGATAAATATAACTCCTGACTGATGTACTCACCACTCTGCTGTTGGGTATGATTGCATTAATATTTTATGAATTTCATTTAAAAGCAAATGTATTCATGACATATGGCTAAAGCCAGAGAAGAGAAACTCCCCTTCTTTGTTGCATTCACTATGCCAACGAATATCCACGACTGCAGTACCCGGTTCAAAAAGCTCCATCACATTGATTATTTCTGTTATCTTCAACTATTAAGCACCAAAGTAGCAGCAGATTTATCATGCTAACCAAGAAAATAACCATTTTAAATCTTCGGCTTTATGTAAGTATTGCCAACTGAAAACCAAAAAAATAGAAAAAATAACAACCCAAACTCGTTGAACCTGTTGCCATGGAGTTAATTCATAATGACCCTGAACCTCAAAACTCAAACAAGTCAACACTTTAAGAACATATTGGAAATAGAACACCAGAGGAACTCTCTTCCTTTTCTAGGCCCCTGCCCAGGATTGCGGAGTACTGCCAACAAACATATGCTATAGCATCTGACATTAAAAGTTCAAACCTCTGAAGGAGATTTGAAATCATATGAAAGGATAGTGGACAAGGCCAAGGCATTCTTACAGTCATTTTTAGAATCAATAGGTTACATAAATGAACAAGCAAGCAACTACCATCACTAAAAGAAATTCATTTTTGTGTTTACCATTTCTTCTTTTAGTATCCTTTCCCTACCACTTCCTTGACTGCATGGTCATTGCTAAGAGAACCAAATGGTGTTGGTTTGCATTCATTTTTCTGATTCATGCATTTCCCAAAGTTCTCACTCACTGGAAATGTTGAGAATGCTAAGAAGAGTGGGTTAAATTATTCCTTGGAGTTCCCGCCCTACCATGTGGTTTCTAGAAAGGTTTTGGTATAGCCTTAAGCCTTCCTGCTTGTGCTTACTCAACCTAGGTAGTTGTCACAGAATGTTATTACCCTTGATATTCTCTGTACAACCTGAGACAGGAGGTTACAATGAAGGCACATGTAATATCCATATGCCCATCTATCTAATATTTTGGGGCCAGGCCGTGTTCCAGGTGTTAGGGTAAAGGAATAAATGAGACAAAATGCTTGATAGTCTTTTTTTGGAGGCAGCCATGCAAACACTTACAAGGCTATAATAGCAATTATCATCACCATCATAATTGTTTATTGAATGATATAATTTCCTAGGTACTGTGTTAAACACTTTATATAATCTCATCTTAACAGATCTGTGAAGTAGGTACTGTTGTTAATCCTTCATTTTCTAACTAAAGAAACCGAGGCTCAAAAAGATTTTCCTTGCCTAAGGTTATACAACCAGTAAGCGATTGGCAACCTTAAATACATGTATAAAACTTTGCCAAGGAAAGATGTAAATAATGCACCCGCTGCTGTCCAGTTGATTCCAACTCATAGAGGACAGAGTAGGATAGCCCCTGTGGCTTTCTGAGACTGTAATTCTTTGTGGGAGGGAGCATGAAGCATCATCTTTCTCCTGTGAAGTGGCTGGTAGTTTTGAACTACTAACTTTGTAGTTGGCAGCCCAATATACACCTCACTACGCCACCAGGGCTGCTACAGGAAAGACATAGGGAACAACACAAAGAATCTAACCAATGTACTAGCACTATTACTACTTGATCAAAGAAAACACATTTTGAAAAGAAAAAGTTCTCATATAGGAAGTCTATGATACCACAATCAAGGAGAAAACTTCCAATCAGCATGACAAAGTGTATTTTCACATTCTCACATTTTGTGGCAAACTCAAGAAAGTAATAGCATCAGTTGGCTACTGGCTACAAACCAGTGTTTAGGTTGCTGGGATAAATCAACTACTCCATTCAGTCTGCAGCTCTCTATCAAGCTGCCAATGAAAAGTTTCTTTCAGAACTAAAGTGTCAGGTACACAAAAAGGCAGGGGTAGATAACCCAAGTAATGAAGTAAGCACAAGTAAATCTGTGCTTACCTTTTGTACTGGGTATTCTGTCTCCGTCAGGGATTGCAAATTTGAAAAAAGACTGATTCTGGAGGAAGGTGCTGTGGGGTGGGTGAGGACAGAGACTCTTTCTTACCAGACAGTCCTTAAAGTAGAATCTTGGCTGTGGTGAAAAAAATATGAAATTGGTCCCTACAGAGTAGTAACTAAGTGCAGGTAAGTCCATGTTTACTTTTCTGAATGAGTAATCAGATACTACAAAAATTCAAATTATACAACTGATCAAGTTTCCTTTAAAAAAATTAATTTGGCTGCCTGCAGAGCTTTAGAAACTGGGTGGGACCCTATGGCCTACAAATGTGAATTCTCATTAACTTCTCTTCCTGGTCTG